TTTGTCCAATAAAATTCGAGTCGACGTTCTAATTTATAATTGCTCAACATAATATTAATAGAATTTGTTCAAGACTCGCAAAAGTACGTTTCAGTTATGTGATGCCTGGATGAATTTTCAAGGCATAGACATAATCTGAAGACATGATTTAAGCAGGTTAAATCTTCTAAAAATTAGAAAATATATAAGTAATGCAATCTTTGCATCAATTGTGAATCCGGATAACAAAGAACGAGACATGAAAGTATTTTACTATACTGTCTAAGAAAATATTTACAATACTTGGCAACCTTAACTACTGTGAGAAATGACTAACTGTAATGTTAAATACAAATTGAGCAAATGAGTATGCAATATCGCTATCAAGATTGACTTTTTATTTAAAAGTCCCGGTTCTTTGTGTTTTCTTTTGCTTCACTCAGACAAGCAAACATCTAAGTGCCGGGATGGTTACAACAACAACAACATCAAGCCTTTATCTGACTACATGGGGTCGGCAACATGAATCATTTTTCTCCATTGTGTCCTATTAAGAGTCAAATTCTCATTTAAATCTAATAAAGAAGGGTTATTTCTAATATTTTATAACCAAGTCTTTTTAGATAGACTTCTACCTTGCTTAACATAAACCAAATCTAATACATCTACTTTCAAATAAAGTGTCGGGATGGTTGATAAATGTCATTTTAACACATTTTTCCCTAGTTTAGATAACCGATTTAACATTAATTTAACACATTTTCCCCTAGCTTAGATCATCGACTTTAGCATTTATTTTTGCTCAATTTCAAGGAATCCACTGCATTAATATAGTTTTTTTATTAACATAAGAGAGACTAATTTATGTTGGATTCCATGAACGTAACACAAAACGAGCAATTGAAACTGTTCGAGCAACGACAACCAGGCACCCGACACAATGCATCCCCAATTTGACCTATTTTGGAGTTGAAATTGAAACTTTTTGGAGGAATCTTGGCAAGCAATTATGTAGCTTCTAAGAGGCTGCTCCAAGGGTTTCTATGGAGATGTTTTGCATGATTTTTGGATAGTTTTGATAATGTAGAGCGAGAACCCGTCAAGCTCAGTTTTTTCTCTTCCTTATGATGTTTATATTTGAGAAATGTGATAGATTTTCACAACAACATGAAAGTTTGTTAATATGTGAGGAGGCTCACCTAAAACTTCTTTCTTTCTCCAGCCCTTCACTCATGACAAATGTCAATCATACGTTCCATTGGGAGAGAAAGTATGAAGACACGTTTCTTCTTTTGAAAGGAAGGTAAAGCAAGGTGTTGGTGTTAGCCTTATTAAATCTTTAAAAATCATTCGTGTTTGAAACGGACACATCAAGGTATGCAATTGGTGTGGTAATAATGCAATAAGGAAGTGTTATAATATGCTAGTCTAAGATACTATAAGGTGCTCAAAAGAATTATCCAACCTATGATAAAACGTTGCCGGCACATCAAGCAATGAAGCAATAGCGACCTTATCTATTGGGAAAATAAATTATGGTTTACACCAGCCACAAACCACTTCAATTCCTCGAACTTAACCAAAGCTCCAACAAGTCAAACACATGAAATGGATGCATTAAAATAGTTCAAGCTCGTCATCAAGTACAAGAAGGAAGCGTAGAACTAGATGAAAGGCATGCTCTCACGGTCTCACCACCCTGTCAATTGTTCTTTTAGCACTCATGCTGCTACAACCATCTCAACATAAAGAGTATATTAGCCTATGCATGCTTAATGATGACTTCAAGGACCATGTAAGGACCTCAAAAAAGCTTTTTCACCATCAAGGAAGAATTGGTCTAGAAAGGTACTTTGCTTTGTGTTCTGAAAAGCTCACACCTCCAAGTAGGACAAACAACTTTGGGATGACCAAAATGCCTTTCAACTTGCAGTGTTATGCACCTTGATGTGGCTAAATTATTGAAATGGTGCATTCATTGCATGCCAAAATACTCCATCCATAATCAAAGACTTTAGACACCATTGTTGGTCCCAACTTGATCTTAGGGCTTCATTAACATGGATTTTTTTTGAGGTTTGCTCACAACGCACATGGGTCTAAACTATATTTTCACTATGTTTGACAGGTTCTCAAATATGATCATCCTCATGGCTTGCCTATAAAACTTAAAGGGGGAAGTGGCATAACTCTTTTTCCAACTTGTCTAGTTCATTTGGACTCCCAAAATCAATGGCCTTGGATAAAGATTCTTGCTTTATCAATGACTTCTAGAAGTCTTATCCATCATAACAGGTATGTATCACTTTGCAAAATAGCACGGTCTTCCATCCACAAACCGACAACTAAAATTAAGTCATCGATCAAACAATACCAAAATCACTAAGTTGACAACTTCTAAAGACATAGGATGAATGTATCTCTTAAATTCATTTATTTTCAAACAAACAATGCACGGATCCACCAATTGAGCAATCCTGAGATATGTCTAGGATACCAACCTTAATGGCCATTCAACATGCAGTTAAATAAAATGATTAAGATTCCTAGAAGGAATCTAAAAGGTTCATGAGACGTGGAGAAGCAAAATCCCAACATAGTTACAAATATCAAAATGATTATCATTGAATGAAAAACAAATGCAAGGAAGGAATCCCCATATGACTTCACATAAGCTAGGAAGGCTCAAAGGAAAATGCCACAAGCACAAGTCAATATAGAGTATGGACCATTAAAAATTATCAAGAGGATTAGTAAAATGCATACCCATTGGAGTTGCCATCTACATGGATATCGACTCCATGATTGTGAAGAACCGTAAGCAATTTGAGCCTTCATGCATGACAATGAAACAAAAGAAATCCTAGTCCCCCTTGATGGCTTGGTGACAAGCCAAGAGGATATGTTAAAGACAAACTAAAAGAGGCAAAGATCGACCTGTTTGTAAAAACGGGTCGGGTTCGGGTTGACCCGAATTGAGCCGGGTCATTTCCGGGTTCGACCCGAACCCGACCCGTGACCCGAAATTGACACCCCTATATTACATCGTATAGGCAAGAAGGGGCAACTAGCTTGTAATTCATAGTGATGCAACTCAGAGTGACGAGTTTCTTACCTGTAATTAGATTCATAAGAGTGAATATTCTCCTAAAAGAGGCCCACCATGATCAAGACATCGATTACGTGAGTGGATTAATTGATGATTACAGCTGAATAGTCTTTGAACATATCTAATCATCACCAAGAAGATCACTCACAATTGAATGATTTTTTTTTTCGAATTGATCTAAATATAACCAAATGGAATCAACTCTAAATAGTGGTTTTCCAAATGAATTCTTAACATTTCCTATGGTTCTACCAGCAGTTAAATATCTTCCTTCAAGCCAAATGGATAGTTTACCAGCTTAGGATACTAGATTACTGTCATAAGAGGCACAACTCTTATTTTAACAACTCTAGTAACTGTTTCAGTTCTTGTAATCAATCCACCTTTTTGTAAGCAACTTTCAAGACTTGTAACTGACATCTGCCCATCTATATAAGGAGTAGGACGAGATGAATGATGGAAAAGGTGTTTTGGGAAGATTTTTAAGAGCTTTATTCCCTCTTGTGCAATCACTATTAAACGCAGAACATTTGTTTATGGTGGTCTTTCAATTTATGATGAAGCCATGTGAATCCTTGAAAAACAAAGAGATTATATCTTCAAGTCCTGGAAGTGCTCACGGCCTTGTCGGTTCTCTTTCCTAAGGCCCAAAGCACTTTCGAGTCACACACAAAAGTCTTGTTCATATTATATTTCATTTCTAGTTTCAATAATTTGAAGGAATGATAAAAATTCATCTATTACAAGAAACAATTGAGTAATTACCTCTGAATTGAACCAAAGTTAAAAAGGGACAAGATGGGTTATATCTATTCCACCCTATAAGAAGGCAAATAGAGCAAGTAGATGCGATCCAACATGCATGAAGTAAAAAAAGCATTAATGGCACGAGATATTCATCCAAAATGCATGAGATCATTGAAAGTCAACAATCAACAGCTAAAAGTGCCAAAGAAATTTGGAAAAAAATGAAACAAATATGACTAATACTGAATAAAGCAGATCATGATAATCGTGAAGACATAACATGCATCTAGCGGCATACCAAACAGAAACATTTAATCAGCTACATATTGATTACGAGTCTGCTCTTTCACTTGATCAGACGTCAGAATGAATAACAATAAAACACTGGTTGCTTTCAACTTATGAAAGTGCTCCATGTTAGGCTGCTAGGCGAAAACCTCTGACAAGTTTCTTTGTAACAGTTTTTCTATTCTCTCCAATTTAATATAAGACTGCTCTCATTGCATTAAGATAAAGTGGGTAGTAGATAATAGGTCAACTTGTAACACCCCACAATACCTCCATCTGCAAAATAGGGTGTAATAGAGAAAACATAACATTCATAATTCTCACATCAAATACTCGTTATCATTTCTATATATATATATTTCCTGTAACAACAGTCAGTATACAAACAAAAGATTCAATTTCAAAACTGAAGACATTAAACTTTCTTCACTGTTTCCAACAAAGGTAACAGGGGCAAGGTACTACTCTCACACGTCCGAATGCACATGAAGCTCCATATTTAATCAAAAAATCATGCCACATGAGAGCTAATTTAGTTTTAATTGCAAAAACTAAGGTGCGGAAATTAAAATGATTTCAACGAGAAGAACTGTATACTGATATCTTTCAATGCAAATGACAGTAAAGAAAGTCTATACACCAAGCCTATAAGTTCTGAAGTGAACTTCATGAAATGATAACACAGACTACAGTTTGCAAAGGAAACCAACAAGCCAGTCATGATGCAATGTTATCTTCAGAGTGGTAATTAAGCTTCAAAGACACGCTCAGCTTATGATATCAAGAGATCAAAAATACAAACAAGAAGAATAGAAATAGGACATACAAACCAAGGATAAACATCACAATCACTAATTCTTAAGTGCAAATTCTAGCATAGCAAATCACTTATTCCAAATTACTTGAAAAAAGCAGGCACAAAGTGTGAGAGGATAACCATGTGAGAATTATATTTCAATTAAACAGGTTAAAAACAAGTACAAGGCATAAACAGCTCACTGAAATCTATATTGACCAAAAGGTTCCAACGCCACCTTCAAGACTTCAAGTCTTTTAGCTTGGCCAGGAAGTCAACTTTATATTTGTCAATATTTTCTGAGCTTTTATCCACCACTCGTAAAACAGGAAGGGAGAAAAAAATGTGAATTCATAGAGCTCATTGGGATGGATTAATACTACTACTTCCTAATCCCATCTTTTGACCCAAAACTTGAAGCTGCCGTACAAAATCGACACCATTGAGAATCTCAGTAGTACCATACATGATATGCTTCGTGGGCTGTGAACGCTGTGCTAGCTCCATCAAGCTCCTGTACTCTATATAATTACCTCCACCTATCATAAAAACAATTCCTTCTTTAAATGGACCCTTCAATTGAGCTCCAGTTCCGGACTTTGGTGCACGCGGGTCATATAATAGGTAAGAATCCACTTCAGGATTTGGTTTTCCCTCCATTAGTGCTTCAACTATTCTTGTAAGGGCAAGTTGCCTCGCTCCTGACAGCAGATTCTTCATACCTGCAGTCACAGCACTCAGCGACTGTCCATAGAGCTTCTCAGCCCAATCTACAATGTTGCTCTTGCTGGCAGAGGCCACAGATGAATTCAATGACAAATTCAAAGATTTTATCTTCTTCACATACTGAAATGCGCATGTATCTACATCCGACTCCCTCAAAGCCGCTTCTATTGATTCAAGTTCTGATTGTGGGGTTGTCTCCACAGAGAGGAGGTAAGTTATGGCAAGCCGAAGCTTATCCTCCTTTGTTCCTTTATCTTTAAGTTGACTAATAAGTTGATTTTTATCCACACTGCCCTTACTTGACATCTCACTTTCTAAATTGCAAAAAGAATCCAAAGCCCTATTCTTGATCTCACCCAACAGCACTGTAGCTAGGTTTGTGTGCTTGTCAATCAATTTCTTCCTCTCAGTAAGCTCCGGGAGTGAATTGACAGCATTCATCAGGTGCTTCGTGTTTCCAATCAGATCAGTGCCATCAAATTCAGCCCCCTTCTGCCCACCTGTACGTCGGTTCACCTCCTCCACATCCTGCTTATATTTGTTAAGCTGAGCATCAATTTCCAGTGCAATCTTCTCAAAAGGAGACCAACAGTTAGAAACCCAGAATGGATCTGAATCATCCAACTCGTACGATTTGACAGGAGATTTGTCCCCCTGCACACTGACCCTATTGAGCTTCATATCAAAGACATCATGCACTAGCGACCGGTAGCTCCAGTCATGCTGCAACCCAACCGCCAACTCAAAATTTCGATCAAATAAACAGAGTATAGGTCGCTGGAAGGAGCTCACTAGAGTTCCGCTTTCAGAGAAAAGATTGTTCTTCTTAACTAAGTGTTCGCGCAGGCGCGTGTCAAGAGCGGCGGCAACCATCTGGGCGGGGCCACCACTTGCGCACCGGATAACGGGCACAACCCCTAACGTGACAAGAACACAGAACAACCCACCAGCTATCTTCTCCAAGATACCCTCGATCTCCTGGTCTCCGGCCGAGGGATCGTTAAGTTGGACATATATATCGCGCTGCGCCAAGGAGAAGAGGTTTTCCTCTAGAGTCACAAATTCCAGGTACTGATCGTAGACCTTCGAGATCCGGCCAACGGCGTCGGCCTTGAGAGCCCCAGCGGCGAGCTCCTCGAGAAGGGGTCGAGGAAGGGAAGAGGAGAAGTTGAGGTGGAAACTCTCGTAAAGCCCGCGGGCGGTGTCTGCCACAATCCGACCAATGTTGACCGTCGTAGGTTGGACGAAGTAGATCGCCGGGACGTCGGGCACGGTCTGCCGCTCCTTATCTATGACGAAGTAGAGAGTGATCCCGTGCTTTCGGAGGTCCTTGACGTGGATCAGCGGGGAAAGGATATCGCGGCAGAAGCGATCGAGGACGAGGATCTTGTAGACCTCCTCCGTGGAGGAACCGGCGCCAGTTGTGGCGCCGCCGGCGTTCGGCTGATGGTTCAGATTCAGCATTCGAATGATGCAACCTTCAGAAAAAAAAATAAACAGATGAAATTGGAGAGCCGATAGAATAAGGATCCGGGAGATGAGATCCGAAGGGGTACAAAGTGGACATACTTGTTTGTTTCTGCCGTAGATTCAGCGCCATGAATGCCGAACAGCAACGGAATTTTTGTTCTAGGTTTAGGGTTTGATAATAGGAAGAAATCTCTTTGACCGATCGGGTTTGGATCGAGAGATCTAAAAGGAGAGAGGATAGAAAATACGTCGAATTGGTGAAGAAGGGGCTTGTGTAACGATGTTTGGGACTTGGGAGGCTGCTTCAGATCTCGCGGGCCAAACCGAAGGAGACCGAGGTAAACGAAGCAAAAGGAGAGCTGATTTTTTATGAGTTAAATATGTTTTAGATATATAAATAAGGGGGTTTAAATGTCCCAAAAAAAATAAGGGGGTTTACATACATGCCACTTTATAATACTAATATTACATATTTAACACCCTAAATTTAAATATTTCATATATACCACTCAAATACAAAAATAACATCATAATTACCATCCCGTCTCTGCAGAATCATCCTAAACAATTCCTCTGCCTCCTTCAACCTTCCATCCCTTTCAAAAGCTAGTAGCAAACTAACGTATGTTCCCATAGTGAGAACTTGGCCTTTGCTTAGCAACCACTTGCTCACCTGAATGATTCTTAATCATTGGTTTCTCCTTCAAAGAATTTCCAAGCCTTCACCGCTGCAACAACCGAAAATTCTTTCTCCCAAGCAGTCCATTTGTCCAATGCTCCATGAATGACTTCCTTTTCATTTGGAAGCTTTGAAATGATACAAACGAGATGAAGAGCTTTTTCACCGGATCCTGCTGTATCTCTCTTCATCCATAAATGGGAATTGGACATTGTTAGTTTAAAAAATTTTTATTAAAAAATTTATTTTAAAAAGTATTAAGAAAATTATCCCAAATGAAACCTTTGTCCGTATAGTATATATTGAATTAAATTTGATTAAATAAGTCAAATTTTGACATATATTTTCATTTTAAACTTATTTAATTTGTTTATGATCGAACTTAATTGACTTATATTTGACTTGTCTACATTAATTTTAAAAATAAATGAGACAAAGATATTTTATATATAAATACAATTAAATCATATATATGCTCAACTTTTTGTATTAAATTTTAAAAAAAGCATATAAATTATAATAGCAATAATAATAAAGTTAATATTTAACTTTTAAGGATTTTTATTTTGATGTTAACAATATAAAGTTATTTTCAATATATGTTTGAAGTTTTAAGGATATTTAGATTTTTGGAAAAGGGTGTGAAAAAATTAAATAAATAAGTCTTATTTAAATTATATATATGCGAAATTTTTAGTTTAAATCATAAATTATATATTTTTATTTTTATAAGTCAATGAAGAAAGTATTCCTTTTTTTAATTATAAATGAAAAAAAAATAAAACAATATATCAATATCTAAATATCATGAAACAATATATCATCTATAAACAATCATTACGGGTTCTTTAGTTATTGATTTTATTTTAAATTTAGCTGAATTAAATTAATTGTAAAATTAATAAGTATGGAATAAAATTTTGCAATTAACATTATCTTATTTCTAACAACTACACTAGAGTTTCTCAGCGTATTTTTAAAAGATCATTTAGTTTCAATCAAACTTTGATTACTAAATCTTGATATTAGTACTCCTAAACATCATTTCCAGCAGACTGATTCAATTAATGCTATAGATCCATTATTTAATATTCATCAACTAGTGTTTCTTCTACTATGGTATGTTATATCAATGTGATAAAAGTAGTGCGGTTTACTCCTCATCTAAGTGTATTCCTCATCATGATTCCTATAGTTGGATCTCCAATAATCAACTCTTTTAGATGACTATTTACATATTTTCACTGTTTAGGAAGCAATTTTATTCTCTTTTAACTCCATATTTTCATATCAACGTATTTGATCTTCACCAACATTTATCTTTCCAATTTGATTGAAGTCATTAGATTCATCAAATATGACATGTGCTGACTCTTCTGCATCTAGGATCATCGTATTATAAACTTCATAGGAGTTTGCTATAGAAGAATATCCTAAGAATTGTGCTTCATCTAATTTTGTATCCAATTTTCTCAAAATAGATTTTTCATTATTCAATATCAAGCATTTACACCAAACTACCTGAAGATGTGCTAGGTTTAGTATTTTTATCCCCAGGCAATTCATATAGTCATGTTCAATTTAGGATAGTAATTTACTAATTTTAAAATATATCATGCAATATTTATATCCTCCACCCAAAAATGCTTGTGTAAATTGTGTTTATTCATTATTGATTAGGCAAACTCAACTAATGTTTTTTGCTTTTTTAACAATTCCATTTTATTATGAATTTCTGAGTGCATAATTATTATGTGATATCCCTGCCTCCTAGTAAAAAACCTCAAGCTTCTCATTCTCAAAGCCTACATCATGGTCAGTATGAATCATAAAAATTAGATACCCAACCTACTCTAAATTCATCAAGGAAGTCACTTTTATGTGCTAAAAATAATAATCGTATATAAATTTAATGTAGTAATATACTATGCAACCTATAGGATTTTCCTTCTATGAAGTACTAAACTTAAAGTGTTAAGTAATCTAAATAGATTCGTGTGAAGTATCTATAATGGTCTAAATGTGACAACATAATTAATAGCATTAAATGAGGATCTATTCAACTTTTCTAATTAATATGTATTATATAAATGATCATTAGTGAACTATAATTATAGTATTCCACTAATTAAATCAAGATGAGTGATCTTCCTAATTGTATGCATGCTAGCATGACATTGTCTCTTATACCATAATCAAAAGTCATCCAACAATGTTTTTATACAATATATTTCATCTGGCTCACTTATATTGTCAATGTCTAAACCGTATATGTCATTAACTCTAAGGTCTTTCAAACTAAATTTACTATTACATTTCAATAAATATTTATTAGACTATAGTTACACATCAAAGGCTTTATCACAAAATTGACTTATATGTTCTAACCCATCAACTAAGGTAACATGCTTTATGACAAATAAATTAATTTCTCTTATCAATGTCATCAATACCAATTACCTTTCTTGTAGTATTGTCGATAAGAGTCACTTTGAATGGTTACATGGATTCAATTGTTATAAATTGGTTCTATCTTTTAGCATATGAGCACTTGCTATCCATTTATCACATGTCTCCACCCCATGCTATTATGTATACATAGATTCAAAACATACTAAGTTTTGATTTTGAAACTCCAAATTGGTTTGGGTACACTACCACATGCATAAATGACATATTCATTTATCAGTTCTTCATTTACACATGTGAGTGATCCTATTATAACATACAATTCATGCTTAATTTCATGCAAAGTTAGGATCTCAGCTTGCATTTCCTTACACTCTTTTTCAATTTTCGTACACCATGAAGCCTTCTAATCAAAATTTTTTTAACTAGTTTTAACAATTTTAACAATATGTGATTCTTTTTTCTAGACATGCAATGCATTTTTTAATGTAGAATATTTCTTACTAAGAAGTTTAAAATTGATATGCAATTCCTTGGTAAGTAAAAGCAATTCAATGTAAGGAAGGTCACATAAAATTATGTGTTTATGAGTCTCCTATCCTAATATATGACATCAAACACAAGCTATTCACTTCAGGCTAACTTATAGTTGAGTTGAAGTCAAAATTGATCCATAACCCCTTATGTGTCTTCTATTTATTATTATTATTTTTTTTTTGAATTGCCTTATCTTCTAATTTTTGTTTCTCGGTTAAGTTCCATGTAGTTGGACACTCCCTTTTGAAATACCCTAATCTCTTATATTAAAAGAAAAAAATCATGTTAGAATTAACTTTCAAATTTGATTTGTATTTTTCTTTACCCTTCATTCTGTCATTAAATATTTTCTTTTTATTATGAAGGGAGGAGTAGAACTTCTTCGTCAATCATCCCACCTCATCATTTTCTAGATCTATTTGTCTCATTATTTTTTTATTACTCAATTATTAGATTTATTTTCTCCTTCTTTCTTCATAGTGGTGTTCGTAATCCTTTGATTTATTTTTTACATGTGTTATATAAGAGCCAAGAAGTAGGTTAAGAAATTAAGTAAACATATTTGTTTATTCAAATAATGCACTAGACTTGGCATCCCAAAACTTTTATATAGTCCAAATAATTTTACTAAATTTTTTACATTTGAATATTCATTACCAAGTGCATATAATAAAGTAATGATTTCGTTGAATTTAATGCACCAACTCTATTCATTTGCTCGTGGAATAGCTCATTATATGTGTAACAAACTTAAAATATGAAAAGTATTTCAAAATAAAATTTTTTATTTTTATTTGAATTGGAGTACTTTAGTGTTGTGATTGGTAGCACAACGGTGCTGGACTTGAGAGCACAGCAGCACTAAAATTGGCACCATGACATTTGAGGCACTGTTTTATAGTAATTCTAAATTCAACAAGAGGTGCTTAAGTGCTAAGCTATTAACAATATTTTAATATTTTTTTATTCTAAAATCCTAAGCACTTAAGTCACCTAGCCATTTCTCTTCCTCATTAAGTTGGCTTGCTCGGGAAGGAAAGGGAGAAGAGGAGGAAGAGGAGAAGATAAAGGAAAGATAAAGGGAATCTTTGGGGCATTTCTATCCATCATTTATATTAGGAAAGTTATTCTACTCGTAGTAACTTTTATTCTACATATAGTTTTAATAATTTTAAGTTTGTTACATTTTCTCTCCCCTAAAAGTGATAAAAATTTTATATCTCTTGTTTAAGTGAAATTTCACAGCATAACTCTTGGTATGTGTTATATATTTTCAATATGAGTAATATGATTGTAATCTTTATAAATTTCAAAATGGAAATGAGAGGAGATTGCAATGGACTTCAAAATATGGTCATGATGTGATTTAGATTACAATTGATATACTCACCAAGATTGCTCACTTTATATCAATTTAGCGAAATTACTCAATGGAGAAGCAAAAAAGATCGATGTGGACAACTTTATTCAATTGAATGAAATTATTATTTCTATTGTTTCAAATTGAGATGGAAGAATTACTATTAGATTATGAAAGAAAAGACACAAAGATTTGGGTATGAGATTGGACTTCAGCACAACATTTCATTCTTAGACAAACAGTTAGTTAGAGCGCAATATTAAGACATTGGAAGATTTGTTGACAACTTATATTCTACACTTTGGTGGTAGCTGGAAAGATTATATTCTACTTATAGAGTTTGCCTATAATAATACTTTTCAAGCTAT